TCTTGTGATGGGACACCTGTGTGACCTCACTGGTTAATTATCACAAAGCCTGCCCCTGCCCTTGAGAATATGGGATGGGGTCCCACCTGTTTTGCTATCATTCCACACCAGTGGATCAAAGGAGTCCCAATTCAGAGGACCCCCAATTCAGACCTTGGTTGCTTCATCTACTATCAATGTGAACTTAAACACTGCTGCGGAGACCCAGTCCTCTGCTGGACAGTGCCTTTCGGGTCACAAGAGAACTGAGACCACACACACCCTCCAGACCCCATCGGTCCAGATGATGAGAGGGAATCCAGGGTCCTCAGCACCCTCCTCCCAGGCTTGTTCCAATTCTTTACTGTAGTTCCTTGGTGCATTGAGCTCAGCCAGCCCCATGGGTTCCCAGGGAGCCATCTTTCCACTGTTTCCAGGCAGAGAGGTGGTCCTGTTGTCAGCTGTACCAGGGGGCAGTATAACCAACTTTCTCTGTTTGGAGCTTTAGTCTCTGCTTCCTCGACCCTGGCATATCCACCAGGAGCAGGTTGCAGAACTGCGTTCGCGCTCTCCCCTGTTAGAAAAAAAAAAAAAAAAAAAAAAGAACTCAGAGCTCCTTTGTCTTTTCTTTAAAACCCCTCCAGCTGATGCTTAACGGGTATGTTTAATTGGCAACGCAAAAAAATGTCTCATAGCCCTTCTGTTACAAGTGTGTGTAGGGGGTGGTAGGAAAATGGCTCAGTGGGTCAGTGACTCCTGCACTGCAGGGGTCCCTATAAGAATCATGGCAGGCAGGAAAATGAACCACAAAGAGATGAGAAGGAGCCAGGTGGTGGTGGTGGCGGCAGCAGCGGCGGCGGTGGCGGTGGCGGTGGCACACACCTTTAATCTCAGCACTCAGGAGGCAGAGGCAGGCAGATCTCTGAGTTCGAGACCAGCCTAGTCTAGAGAGCAAGTTCCGGGACAGCCAGTGCTATACAGAGAAACCCTGTCTTGAAAAACCAATACCCCAAAAAAGAGGGGGATGGAAACTCCGGTCAGTTCCACTTAGTCAGGCTGGATCAAACTTCTAGAGAGTCTAATGCTAGGCAGTTTATTGTATGCATATTTAAACACAATAGGATTTGGAAAAAAGGTTCCAGGCAACAATCATTCCAATTCCAGGTGCACAATAAAATGCCTTAAGGCATGACTACATAGAAACACCTTTACAAAGTAAAGACCTAGGATAGTGGTCCTCAACCTTCCTAATGCTGTGACCCTTTTTACAGTTCCTCATGTTGTGGTGACCCCCCGCCATAAAATTATTTCGGTGCTACTTCGTAACTGGAATTTTGCTACTGTTACATATCGTAATGCAAATATCTGATATTTGACCCCTGTGAAAAGGTCATTCATTACACACACACACACACACACACACACACATACACACACACACACACACAAAAAAAAAAAAAAAAAAAAAAAAAAAAAAAAAAAAAAACAAGACTCACAGGTTGAGAACCAGTGGCCTAGGATCTGGCCTGGTCTCTGACTGAGATAGTATAGAGGTCAGCAGGCTATAACGTACATGTGACATCTCCCCTAATGGTGGGTTCTATTGACTGAAAGATAAAGATAAAGGTCTAGGGAGGGAGAGTCTGGGATATTCATTCTGGGGAATTTTGGTGAGTTGTGGCTCTACAGATAGCCAAAGGTCACCAGGTCGTTAATAATATCCACTCTCGGCTTTCTGGATAGAATGCAGGTATTGTATCTCCTCCATTGAGGAGACACCCCTATGTGTTTAAGTTTGGGTCCCAGGATCCACACGAAAAAAAAAAAAGAGAGAGAAAAGTAAAAATAAAAAATAAAATAAACAGTGTGGCCAGACACCTGATTGTAGACCCAACACTAAGGTTGGGGGACAGGGAAATTACTGGAGTTTGCTGGCTGCCAGCCTAGCTCCAGGTTCAGTGACGAACACTGTCTGGTTTTTGTTGTTGTTGTTTTTGGTTTTTCAAGACAGGGTCTCTCTATGTAGCCCTGGCTCTCCTGGAACTCACTTTCTAGACCAGGCTAGCCTAGAACTCAGCGATCCTTCTGCCTTTGCTTGGATTAAAGGCATGCACCACTACCACCACCTGGTGGAGAAACATTCTCTTAAAGTCATAGGTAGAGTGATACATCCTCCTTTGGATGTACATTCTCTCTGTCTCTGTCTCTCTGTCTCTCCCTCTCTCTGTCTCCCTTTCTCTGTCTCTCCCTCTCTCTCTCTGTCTCTCTCTGCCTCTCTCTCTCTCTCTCTCTCTCTCTCTTCTCTCTCTCTCTCTCACACACACACACACACACACACACACACACACACACACACACACACACACACACAATGTGAGCCAAGAGGTTATTTTGAAGTTAAAATATTTCTCTTGGTATGGTGGTCAATGCCTATGGCTTTCTGGTGGCTAAGGTGTGAGGGTCATGAATTAGAGACCAGCCTGGTCTATTAGGTAGAGCAGAAGATGAGGTGCCCAGAAGTGGAGGCATCCACAAACAGCACTCTCTATAAACTGAACTGTGGGGCTTAATTACATATGGGCAGAAGGAGCCTCAACTCTTAGGTGATTGGAAAAGTCAGTAATTATAATGAGAAATCTACGGAGACTGTTTAAAGGGCAAGAAATTTATTAGGGGATAAAAACTCACTACAGCACGAGAGATTTATCGTAGGGTCCTGGAAAGCTGAGCTATGGTCCACGCTGTTCTTCTGCCTGGTCCATCTCAGCATCCAAAACTATGAGAAAGAGAGAGAGAGAGAGAGAGAGAGAGAGAGAGAGAGAGAGAGAGAGAGAGAGAAGAGAAGAGGAGAGGAGAGAGAGACAGAGAGACAGAGACAGACAGAGACAGAGACAGACAGAGAGAGGAGAAAGAGAGATGCCTACATGCATCCCAGGTCTTAAGGGTCCACGAGGCCATGCCCCAGGGGCATATACTTCTCCATAAGCACTCGGTGGTGTATGCCTTGCCCCCAATAATGAAAAATAGATTTCTAAAAGTTCCTTTTGCTCCTGGCTCCCAGCAACCCTGGCTCTTTGAGGCTTAGCACAGAAGCAGGTGCTGGGCGTGGGTCTGGCAGTGGCAGGCACAGGCACTCTCCGCCCTGGGCTGGTAGTGGGAGGGCACTCCAAAGTTAACTGGACTCAGTGTTGAGTGTCTCCTCCGAGGACACAAGGACCACAGGCTTTCTTCCTCCTGTCTTTTGACGGTAACACCCTAAACTCCAGGGCCTGGGCAACGAGGTGGATGTGACTGTGGGTTTGGGTCTGAAGGAAATGGTGCAAAGGGAAGGCTTTGTGTCTTTGTCTTAGGGGACGTCCAGGATGACTCTCTGGAGCTTGAGCACAGCCCCAGACAGAGGTTGCTAGGGCTTGTCCAAGGCCGGGCTGCCCATTGATGTGTGCACATGACCCATCCTCCTACAGCCCCTTTTCATCCCCTCAGATTGAACATGGCTGGAGAGCCCAGGCCTGGCTCTGCCCATCCAGTCAAGAAGAGGCTGCAGGACACGACCATCTTCCGGTGAGTCCATCCTGTCAGCAAGGGAGGCTGGTTGTCCGTTTGTCTGAGTTCCCCTGAGATGGAAAAAGGAATCTAGAAGATTCCCTGAGGGTCCGGCTGCTCCAGTCTGTGACTTTTTCTTGAGCCTCAGGTGTGGTCTGTTACTGAGGGGACTGATTCAGTGCCTTCCACCCTACCCAGGCGCCACAACCTGACATCCTCCAGCCTGGAGGCAGGAAGTCCTCCAAGGAGAATCTCTCCTGGGGGAAATCAGAAACCTTTTTCCTAAGTCTAAATGTTTGGGAACATTTCTGGATGACAACTTGTCCTTAGCTTGGCACACCTAAAACAATTATTAGGGAAACTTATTTTTTGCTGTTGCTTTAGAATTAAAACTTTATTTATGAATTTGCATGTGTGTGTTCATGCATGGATGTGTGTGTGTGTGTGCCCATGCGCACAAGTGTACCTGTTTCATGGCTCCTGTGTGGAAGTCAGAGGGCAACTTGAGCTGGCAAGAGTTGGTTCCCTTCATCTGCTCTGTGGGTCCCGGAGGTCAGCCGCCGGCTGTCAGAGTTGCTGACGTGCATCTTTACCCAGCGTCAGCTCACCCATCCCGCTGTTCTGTTTTGTACGTGTTCGTCTGTATTTTTATTTTGTTTATTTATTTTGGTTTTTCAAGACAGGGTTTCTCTGTGTAGCCCTGGCTGTCCTGGAACTTGCTCTGTAGACCAGGCTGGCCTCCAACTCAGAGATCCATCCAACTCTGCCTCCTGAGTGCTGGGATTTGCACCACCACTACCACACAGCTATTTTATTTATTTTAAGACAATATTTTTATTCCTTGAAAGTTCATACCTGTATCCAATGTATACTGATCATATCCATCCACCACTAACTCCCTTCAGCTTCTCCTAATGCCCCATCCCATTTCTCTTCCTTCCTCTATTTTCTCTATTTAATTTTTAGACAGGCTCTCCCTATTTAGCCCTGGCCGGCCTGGAACTCACAGAGATCTTCCCACCTCTGTCTCTCGAGTGCTGGGATTAAAGGTTCGCGTGCACCCTTCCTGGAGATAATGAGCAGAGCAAGGACTCTCTCCCTAAGCCAGAAATCCACTTACTATGTAATCCTTGAATAGAGGACATACCAGATATTAAAATAATAAGAACAGGTTGGGCATAGTTTTTAGACAGACCGCAGCCATTATCCCCAGTGCAAACGGATCGCTCCTCTTGTAGGAAAAAAAAGCCAAGGGCCAGGGGTGGCTGCACTCAGCCTAAGCAAGGAAACTAACTCAATGGTAAAATCCTTCTTGCTTGCGACGGGCAGCAAAACAGGTCGTGCATTGGCCGGGAATCGAACCCGGGCCTCCCGCGTGGCAGGCGAGAATTCTACCACTGAACCACCAATGCTGTGCGGTGGAACGGGGTTTTGCTGACTGGGATGTTCAGTCTCTGCCCTGTCTAGGGAGTGGGACATCGATGCTCCTGAAATTCATCATCTGGAGCCCTAGAGACAACACTCTTGTAATCAAACCCACATCGCAGGGGAGGCTGCACGCCTTCTCCGCGGTGACCTGCGCCAGCTCGCTTTTCTCCCTCCTCCCGGCCCGAATCCGAAGCAGCCCTGCGTATCCTCAACCGCCCACCCAGACCTCTAGAAGCCAGGAAGTAGAGGTGGCCGGATCTCTTCACAGTTCTGGGGACCCTGCGGGCTGAAAGGCAGACCTGTCCTACGTTTGGCTCTAAATAAGCACAATAAAAGGAGTCTGCCTTTGAGTTGGGCACGAAGGCGACAGCACCCGGAGCCCTTCATGTATAGGACCCACTTGTCTGCACAGATCCTTCATCTCTCCGTGTGAAGTGGGGTGAGGCCGCCTGCCCCTAGGAGCCTGGTACCTTTTAGGAGCTCGCCTCTTTCCATGGCCTGCAGCCAGGGACAGGCGGCTTGGCGGCAGCCTAAACCTTTCCTGCTGGTCCCGACTATGCTGACCTCTGCGTTCTGGCAGTTCCCATGCCCACACTGAGACCTTGGGCTCTGGCTTCACTTTTCCCTTTCATCCTTTGCCGGACTAAGATCCCGAAGATCAACAGTGCCTGGCTCAGGCAGATGAGCCTTTGGAGGGCCAGGCTCTGACTGGACGGCCGGCGGCAGGCGATTGTCCTCCTACGGCCACCTGCGGCGGGGGTGGGGGGGATGGAGGTGGGGACTCCAATCAGGGAGAAGCTGGTTTGCTATGGTCTCCCAAAATGACTTTGGGCAAGACCCTAGGGTGTCTTCTGGTGAAGAATCCTGACATTCAAAGGAAGAGCTGCAGGTGGAGGTAGGATGGTCAGGAGTTCAAGGTCAGCCTCAGCTGCAAAGAGGGTTTGAGGCCAACCAGGGATAAGACTGATGTATGGAAAGAAGGAAGGAAGGAAGGAAGGAAGGAAGGAAGGAAGGAAGGAAGGAAGGAAAGAAGGAAGGAAGGAAGGAAGGAAGGAAGGAAGGAAGGAAGGAAGGAAGGAAGGAAGGAAGGAAGGAAGGAAGCTCCCTCCTCTCCCATCTCTTTAGGGTGAATGAAAGCAAGAGGACCCCTCTACTCATCAACCAGGTCCCGGCCAAGAGCCGCAGGACCCATCTAAGTCCGAGGTTCAAGTACACCTACAGCCCTTACAAGGCCTGCAGGAACAGCCATCTGCCCCTGGGGCGGACAAAGTGTGAGTGAGGGGCACAGCCCTCACCGTCAGTGCTAGGGAGGAGGTGGGTAGCCTGATCTGAAGTGAGGGAAGGCTGGAAGGCCCTGGCAGGATCGCTCTAAGTCCCTGGGGCCTCTGTGTTCATGTGGACTTCAACCCTGCCCCCTCTCAGCAGTCCAGACTGAAGAGCTGGACTCCATCAGGAGGGAGCTGAGCAAGATCAAGGCCCGGGTGGACAGCCTGTTGGAGAGTCTGGAGTCCATGGAGCAGCAGAGGGAACAGCACACAGGACAGGTACTCAAGAGGGCCACACTCTCAGTGGGTCCCAGTTTTTCCTGCACTGGGGGTTTCTGTCTGTGGCTTTCTCTCACTGTAGGCCTTTTTTACGGTATTGTGCTTCTTCATTTTTCCTGGCTGTCTCCCATGGCCAGAGAACATCTGTGATGTCTGGGTTGTCCCAGTACCCTCCAGATGTCTGGAGTCAAAGTAGCTGTCTCATTCTCCCTTGTTCTATGGAGTTCTAGGTTACAGTTCTAGGTTACAGTTAGGCTCCTGATTGAGTCAGTCGGGACCTCCAAACTGACTATTGACTCTCAGAACAGGAACAAAAGATAGTGAAGAGAACAGGTATCCTGGAAGTAGGGCTCCTCAGGCACAAATGCTGGGCCCCAGCAGGTGTCCAGGGGCCAGAGCCTTTTGGAAAGCACAGACAAGGGGCAACCAGTGAGTGGTCGCTCTCCTTCACTCTACTTGTGTTTAGGTCCATGTGGCCTCTTTGTGAGCAAAGACAGGGCACTTTGGTTTGTGTAGGAAGGAGGCTTACAACCTCCACCCAAGAGCAGAGCTTAGGGCAGCCATCTTCTGCCCACCCCCAACCCCCCACCCCCGCCCCCCTTGACTCTGGGTTTGGTCAGCTCAGCTATATCAGGGACTACTGTCGGGCATTTGGACACTTGGGTTAGTCAGTCCTGGGTTGAAATATCATCTTCTGGAAAGGAAGCTGAACTTTATAGGATACCAAAGGTATGTTCCATATCCCAAGCCCCCCTGGTAAGCTTGTTAAAATTTGAATTTCTGCTACTTTTCTGGCTTCATCCCATTGGTTGCCTCTGGGTCTTGGGACTGCACCTGTACCATGCTGCCCAGGGAAGCTGTGGCATCCTGATGTTCCTAGATTGAGACAGTCCAAATCTGGACTGATAATGGCCCTACGTGGAGCAGTAAAGGGCCTAAGTTTTCTCTGCCCTCCCGTATCTTCCGGTTATCCCTGCCCCACACTGCCTTCCAAGTCCGCTCAGCAAGATCAGGGTTGGTAGTGGTGAATTCCCTCAGGACCCCTTGCCTAACCCAGGTTGGATGGGCTCAGGATGAGTCCTCGCTGCTGCCTAGGGCCTAAGTCACTACCCCAGAAAAAGAATGGACTACAGGGAAAGAACGTTTGCTCTTGCCTGCTGGTTCTGGGCTTCCAGGCTTCAGTGGCAGTGGGTACGCTTAGCATGGACAATCTCTAGCACCCCTTCCATCCCCCAAAGAATCTAGAATAGCCTCCGATTTACCAAAGGTCCCAAGACAGCAGTAGGAGGGGAATTGGGGGAAGATTTTAGCAGATAGCCTTCTTTCCTAAACTACGCCTCCCACCCTCTAATCCAGCCCCTCCTATTAACTCTACAGGTGAAGAATCAAGCATCGGACCAGGATAGCCAGGAGGTGGGGACGCTTCCAGGCTCCGCTGTTACTTCTTGGGTGGCTTGTTTCCCCTTACCTTGTTTTTGGAAGGCCCCTGGTGACACCCATGCAACCTGAAGTAGCCTTTCTGGAACCAGGGCAAGGGGGAAGCACGGTTCAGCCACGCAGCCAGAAAACGTCCCGGTAATTGTGGGTTTAACGTTTGAGGTCTTTCCCCTGAGTTCTGGGGTGGGCAGGGGAGGGGAGCCCCCCAGTCTGGCATCCTCAGTCGTGCAGGAGGCACCTGACAGGCCCTATGAGCCTTCATGGATGCAGATTGCTCTTACTTCCCTCCTTCCCCACGCACTGCTAAACCTGGTGCTGCGGAGCTCTTTTCTGCAGCCACAGTAGTCAAACCCACTTGTGTCCCTACAGTGACACTCAACTGTGAGGTCATGTGTATGCCTAACCAGCCCCTTTTGGTTAAACCCACCACCATGTACCCTACAAAGCCATAAGCCATCCTCCAAAACAGGCAGATAGCTTTTATCTCGTTTTTATCTTGACTTTTACTAGTGTAATACTAACTTCAGATCTGCTCTAGAAAAAGTCATGTCAGAAGGGGAAAAAAAATAAAAGTGTATTTCTTCCTGGTCAGGGGTTCTTACGTGGTCCTCCTGAAGCTGAGCAGACCCCTGGGATACCTAAACTTAACAGCAATCTCACACAGCTTCCTCCAATTCAGCCATAAGTGACGGTCAGGGACCCTACACTCCTGGTCAGTGAGGCCAGCTGTCTTAAGGAACAGCCAGGCTGTAAATGGTGCCACAGTTTTTAGGAGCTCTCTTTCTTGGTAGTCCATTGCTGCCCTAAGCCTTGTTCCCAGGAACCAAGACTGGACAGAGACACCAGGTAATGAAGCTAGTCCAGAACTCCCATTTCTGGTTTTTTTGTTTTTCTTTTTTCTTTTTTTGCAATAGGGTTTCTCTACGTAGCTCTGGCTGCCCTAGAACTTAGAAATCCACCTACCTCTGCCTCCCCAGTGCTGGGTTTAAAGGTCTGTACTACCGCACCCGATAGGGCACCACTTCTGCAAAACCATGGAAACCTGGGTTATGCTACTCTACCAGAGGAAGGGGCAGGGCGTCCTTCCAGAGCATAATCCTTTCCAGTTACCCAACTCCTAGACATGGTCTTGTCCTTCACCAAACCAAAGGAGAGGGAGGAGAGGTGTGCCCCCAGACTTCTGAGGCCACTTAACTCGCCCGTCTTTTTGTGGGGACTGGGTTTCTCTGTGTAGCCCTGGCTGTCCTGGCATCTATCTCCTCAGATATTGCTCCTGGGGCAGGAGGTTTCTCCTCTAAAGCACATTACTCCTTTTCACTTACAGTGAGCTAACAGGAAAATTTAAGGCAGTACTGACTCAAGCCATTGACGACACGGACTCAACACATGCCTAGTTCAAAACAGCATTGTTTCTAACTCTAGTACCAAGAAAAAAACCACAACAGATGTATTTTCGGGTATAAAAAAGGTTTTTATGTTTTAGTTCGGGTAGTGAGAAAGCAAAGTCCCCTTGCCCATCCTCTCAAAAGAAGCAGTTTATCATACATTGGAGCCAACGGCTGGCCTGCACAGGGTCCATCCCTTAGAAGACCACAGCTCCAGGTCTCATTTACCAGGTAATCCAGCTTAAGTCCTTTCCAACTTGCGAGTAAGGCTTTCAAAATTTTCCAACTGGATGGTGGCTGCAAAGGCCCTTTAAATCGTCCCAACACAGCTGTCCAGCGCTTTGGTTCTGTGCGCGCTACCTCCCACTCTCGTTTCTCGGCTCAGCTAAGCCAGGCGAGCAAGAGCTCCGGTCCGACTGGGAGAGAAGGACGACAGTAGTCTTCCGCATCGTGGTTGCTCAGGTTTTCCAATCAGGACGGGGCGGCGGCGCCCCTCTGGCGGGCAGCCCGCACCAAGCATTGCTGCAGCACTGGGTAGAGGCGCTGGCAGCCTTCCAGGCCCAGGCGCACCGCATCCGTCCAACTCTCAGTCTGGCCGCCTTCCCCGCTGCCCAGCAACCCGGCCACCTGATTGAGCACCGGCATGAGCGCCACCGTGAGGCCGGCTGCAGAGTGCTCCTCCTCCAGCCGCGTGGGGTCCAGCAGCCAGGTGGGCGAGGGTCCCGGGGCGAGGCTCAGGCCGCAGCCCACTACCAGATCATACATCTCCACTCCCGCGTCGGCCAGGGCGAGCGCGGCGGCCGTGAGCGCCGCGGCCAGCGCAGAGCCGCCGTCCTCCAGCAGCAGCGCCGACACCTCGAGTTGGGCGCGAGGGTAGCGCCCCAGGCGCACCGCCGGCTCCAGAGCCTCCTGCAGCGCCAGACCCAGCTCGCGCTCCTCGCCGCCGCCCTGGGGCGCGCGACGCCGGCGACCGGCGAAGGGCGCGCGGCGGAAGTCACAGAGCAGGCGGCCCCGGAGGGCGGCCGGGGCCTCGCCGCCCGCTCCCGCAGGGCCGCCGCCGCGCTCGCCGCCCTCGGCCTGGCGCGGGCCCGACACGGCGCACAGCACCTTGGTGCCTCCCGCCTCCAGGTAGGCCGAGCCCTTGGCCTGGCTCAGCAGCCCGGCGCGCGCGTACACCGGTCGTAGCCGCGTCGGGTCGCGGGCAGCAGGCGTCTCGTCTTCGTCGGCCGCATACAGCTGCGGCGGCTGGGACTCCTCCGGCCCGCGGATGCGCCGGTGGTCTCCCGGCATGGCGGCTACCGGCGTACGAACCACTTCCGCCTGCTGACCTACCTTGCGCACCGGCACTTCCGTCCACTTAAACATGCGCGCCCGCGCGAAGCCTATCGGGAGAGCGGTGTGTGGCCGCACTGCCTCCTAGCGGAGTGGAGGAGGTACAGCTGGACTTGGCCTATGCTAGGACCTGGGCTGGTTTTATGGCTCTAAGCTGTTAAGGTTATTCCTTGAATTTTGCATTCATATTGTTTTACACAAACTTGCCCAAGGTGAGGACTTTTTGCTCACTCCTGTACTCAATCCCCAGCTTGCTTCAACACTTGTTTAATAAATTGATGGAAATCTCTCTTCCTACACTGAATATATACATATATATGTGGTTGTGTGTATATGTGTGTGTATTTATATATGCATATATACATAAGCAGGGAGTATCTCTGCCTCCCACACACTACTGCTTCCAGCCCCTGCTGTTTGTAGACTCAGACAAATTGCATTTTATGACCAGGTCAGGGACTTGACTACTTTAGGTTAAGAAGCAGGGAAAGGACAGTTACTAGGAGACACCTCCACGCTTATGCTTCCTATATTAGTCATCTGACCTCGTATCAACAACACAAAGGGAGGCAGAGAAGGGACATACATGGCCCAAGTCATTAAGAGGTTGTCCCAATAGACTGATAAAGGTGCTTCCCCACTTGAAGAACTTCAGTAGAAATTTCCCCCACTCTATTGAATGCCTCAATTTCAGCCCATCCATTCTGCCTCTGCCATCCTAGGGGCCACTCCTAAAGTTCAGGGGTCTAGGGATGTGTTCTGTGATAGCTTCAATCAGAAACCAGCTGGAACCTCAGCCTGTTATTCTGCAGGTATACAGGGAGCCAGGGTCCACTCCAGGAGAAAAAGTAGAATGCATGCATCAAGTATTGCACATGGTCCTTTTTATTTTCTGCAGCAAAAAGGCTCCCTACCTGCAGACCTAGAAGCCTCAGGCTGGCAGAGCTGACGTTACCTAGACATGATCGTGACGATGTTAAACGGCATTCCTGGGTAGTGATGCTACACAGATGGTGCTGATTCGTATGGCTCAGAGCAGTAACGGAGAGGGGCGATGAGTCGCAGGGCAGCTCCAGGTGTGGTCCATTACTGCTGGATTAGGACGGACAGGGCTACTGAAAGGTCCCAAGACTCAAATGTCTTCGTGGCAGGGGAGCTCCTAGGTGGACTCCTGCATTCTGACACATCTGGTTGACGGGGAAATGGGTCCCAGTGAGGGCTTCCCTCGAGTCAGTTCTTCACATCTCCCAGGCGGAGCTGGGCAAAGGACGTCGCCAGCTGCAATGCTTCCTGAAGGCAGCCCACGTTCTTGCCTGTGGCCTGGGCAGACACATCCTTGCCACCACCTTTACCATCCATCAGGCCCGAAACCTGCTGTACCCACTCGCTGGCTTTGAGGCCCCGGTTGGCTGCATTCTAGAAGACAGGAAGGGGAAATGGTCAGAAGAGAAGATGAGATTGAGGTGGGATACAGAGGGACAGACACCACAAGGAGGGGAGCCACCCAAACCCATTCGTATCCTGGGTGATGCTACCAGAGGCCAAGACTGACTCTACAGCTGGTACAGGGGAGCAGCTATGGCCACTGTCAAGGTGAACAAAAAAACAATGCCAGGCATCAGCCAGTAGTTAATACATCTACCAACAAGAAGGCCTGAGGGGTAAAAAGTACTGAAGGAAGTAACAAATGGAAGAATAAAATCAGCACTTTCTCATGAGGAATGCACACACAGACAGACAGACAGACAGACAGACAAACACACACACACACAGAGTCTAGACAAATACTATGAAGAACCCCTCTCTGAGAAGCCACAGACAATGCTTCCCACTGGCATAGGGGTTTGCAGGCTCTTTTTTTTGGAGACAGGGTTCCTCTGTCCTGGAACTTGCTCTTTAGACCAGGCTGGCCTCAAACTCAGAGATCCTCCAGCCTCTGCCTCCTGTGTCCTGGGATTAAAGGCTGGCTGCAGGCTTTTGTTCGGAGTAAGGTTGTAGGAAGTTCTTACCTGGGGAACCTGACACAGGCACGTGATCTTGCCAGCCTCATTGTCCACTGTGAACAGCATGGCAGATGTCTGAGGAGAATGCGTCTTGAAAAGCTTCAAAGCTTCATTCAGGGCCTGTGGGGAGAACTTCATGTCAGGTCATACAATGGGGCAGGGAGCCCTATTTTCTACAAGGGAGTCTGTGGAGTAGGATCAGAGCACCACCCCATTTCCAAGAGCAGATGCTGTGTCCAGGAGCCCACACAAAGACCAAAGGCAGGACCCTGGCCAAACTCTCCCCTCGGGCGCTCCTTCTTCCTCAGGCTACCAGATCTCTCCGCGGCTCAGCCTAACTTCAGGACTAGGCAGTGGGCCTCAGAACTGTCAGAGGTCTGACAAGGCTGGAGGGGTACACACAAAGCTGACAAGCAGGGCAGCCCTGGCCCCAGCCCGCTTGCCTTGGCCGAGGCGCCGCTCTCCATCTCCAGGATGACCAGGGGCTGGTTGGGGTTGCTGTCAATCAGCTGCTTTGTCTTCTCTAACACCTACAAGAAGCCCAGGAGAGAGGCTTAGTTAGGCCAAGAGCCCAGACTAAACCGTGTGAGCCTCTGCCCAGGAAAACCCTCCTCCAGCTGCCAACACTGCTGAGACTAACTCGCTTCTGGACATCGGCTTTGCTGGCTCGGTCTAGGTCATCCATGACCTTCTTCAGGGATTTCAGAGTTTCTCGTTGTTCATCTTTCTGCCACTGGGGGATGACTGCAGTAGCCAGGGCCTGGAACCAGAACAGAAGTCTGTTCAGGTCTTTGCTACTAGGAGGGAGGGGGGAATTCAAGCCCACTCTATCCCACCCATCTGTCTTTGAACCAAAGTTTTCCATGGCCAGTGTCTGAGAAAACTGAGAAAACCACAAAGATATCTGCTGGCTTGAAGACTAGTCACTCTAGGGCTGGAGAGATGTTTCAGTGGTTAAGAGCACTGACTGCTCTTACAGAGGTCTTGAGTTCAATTCCCAGCAACCACATGGTGGCTCACAACCATCTGTAATGAGATCTGGCGCCCTCTTCTGGCCTGCAGGAACACATGCAGGCAGAATACTGTATACACAATAAATAAATCTTTAAAAGGACTAGTCACTCTGTCAAAGTAGCAGCCATCACAGCAGGGCTTAGCTCTTAAGTTGAGACCTAGGTGTGAACATAGCCTGCAAAGACTCGCTGGAAGCTTAGCATACCAAGAAATACCAGCCACTGTGTCAAGGGCAGCATGAGTTGCACAGTGATATCCTTTCTCAAACAACAACAACAAAAAGCCTGACGCCCCACCTCCCCCGCCCAGCATGTGACTCATGTTTGCAGAGAGATGGTAAGGCCAGGGGACAGCTGCAAATCCGAGGCCAGCCTGAGCTATATAGTGTGTTCCAGGCTAGTCTGGGCTACAGAGTAAGACTCTGTCTCAAAAAAGCACAATTAAAAGAACAAAAAGTTCAAGCAGAGGACGATCTTACTCCTCAGGCTTGATGAGGATCGCACAGACCCAGAAGCAGAGGGAGGCCATCCCTACCTCGCCAAGGTCGGCAATTTCCCTCTGCACATCCTTGTTGGGTGCCGTCTGGGCCTTCACTTTGGCCTCCATGACAGAGAGAGATTTCTTCAAGCTCTCTGCCTTCCTGAGGGCCTGGGAAGAGAACAATTGGAGATGTAAACACCAGGGATGTCTTTCCTTCAGGAAGCAAGTGCTCTGGCCACACACACACACACACACACACACACACACACACACACACACACACAGCCAGCAAAGGCTACACTGTAACTCGGGTCCAAGGGTAACCAGGTGAAATGACCGTTCCTCAGGTCAAGCTAGAGTTCCCAGCACAGAACGATGGTCCTCTGTGCCACGTTCCTCACGTTAGGTGGGCTGTGTGGGCTTCGTGTAGAGGGAAGGGCGATGAAGCAGAAGGAGACCTCCGCCTTGCCCTCCCGCACACGGCTGTGTCAGGAGGAAGACCCAGGTTATGTATTCTGTTTTCCACGATGCTGTTTGTTTTGGGAAGTTTCTATTATCATTTCGTGTGTGATGTGTGTGCAGGGTACCCACGTGGGAGTCAAAGATCAACTTCATGGGGCCAGTTCTCTCCTTACACTTTATGTGGGTCCCTGGCGACAGACTCAGGCTGTCAGTCTTTGTGGCAAGTGCCATTACGTACTGAGCCCAAGATGTGAAAGATGAGACACTGACAGCTAGGAATCTTGTGCAGTGACAGCTTCCTCTGACAGGCAGGGCCCACACACCTGACCTCACCTTCTGTGCTTCAGCGCCTGTGACAGCAACGATCCTCCGGATGCCCTTGGCAATCGCTTCTTCAGTCACTATCACGAAAGCTCCTGCATGACTAGAATTCCGTAGATGCCTGAAGGGCAGAGCATAAAAGGCTATGAAGAAGAGGAAGTCTGGGAGCCCTGGGTGGGTGAGATGCCTCTTCCCTATGAAGTCATCCAGTCTTTCACAGTAGGTAAAGACCTTTTTTTTTGAGACAGGGTCTCACTGTGCAACCCTGGCTGGCCAAGAATTTATTATACACACTAGACTGGCCTTAAAATCATAGATTTGCCTGCCTCTGCGTCCCAAGTGCTGGGATTAAAGACGTGCACCACCACACCCCCAGCGACCTTTCACTCTGATGGGATTTTAGGAGCAGAGGTTAGAAGCACAGGCAAGTGAAGGAACAGGAGGAAAAAAAAGTTGGGCTCAGCCCAGAAGCCAGGGTTCAGACTGAGCCTCAGTTTTCCCAATATAAAAGGGGACAGGTCTCCTTCACAAGGCTGTTATGAAAATCAAGTGAGACTCTCATCAAAATGCTGATATACCTAATATCCAACTCAGTAATATTGTTATTAGGTTGCATGTGACATTTTGATCTTTTGGTGGAACATAAGATATATTTTAATATATGTAAAAATGCTCATTAGTTGAGAATATTGGAAGATTACTTCTTTGGGGGGGGGGGTGTTTCAAGACAAGGTTTTTCTATGTAGCTTTGGAGCCTGTCCTGGAACTCACAGAGATCCGCCTGCCTCTGCCTCCCCAAGTGCTGGGATTAAAGGTATGTGTCACCACCGCCCAGTTTGGAGGATTACTTTTTAAATTTTTTAAAAACATTTTTTAATGATTTACTTATTCTTATTTTATGTGCAGTGGTGTTTTGCTTGCATGTATGTCTATATGAGGGTGTTAGATCCCCTGAACTGGAGTTAAAGATAGTTGTGAACTGCCATGTGGGTGCTGGGAACTGAACCCAGATCCTCTAGAAGAGCAGCCAGTGCTCCTAACCACTGAGCCATCCCTCCATCCCTACTTTTAAAAATCTTACTACATTACCTGGATCTAGAAATAGGCCTTATTCTCCAGTTGCTCAAAGAACTCAAAGTGTGCACTTGTGGAGGGGCCCCAAAACAGCTTGACCACAGAGCAGCCATGACAGGCTTAGGGGCCTACACAGCTTCTGTGACAGGCTTACTGTCGGGCAACACTCAGATCCAGGAAAAGCCATAAGCTGACACCACCCAGGGATCCACCCAGGGGTGAGGAAGTACCCAACATCCCAAACATTCCAACCAGTAGATAAGGTGGCCAGATGTCCCTGAGTCTAGCATGTATCTATTTTTGTTTTACAGATACCCCTGGACAAATGTCAGCAAATCAGGGTCCTGAACTCTAGAAATCCCCTCACCCCAACCTCTGCTATGATAAAAACCCC